GGATGAAGCTCCGAAATCACTCGATGAGCAGACCATGGACGCCGGTGCCGAAGGTGACACCGATCTCAGTGTGGAGCCTCTTGCCAACTTGGAGCAAGAGAAAAAGAGGAAGAGACGCGAGCAGAAGCGCCTAGCTAACGAACGATTGAGAAAGCATTATAAAAAAACTGATGAAGCTGATGAAGGGCCTGCGAAGTTTACAGAAGATGAGTCTGAAGAGCCTAAAGAGATCAGGCGAGTGCACAGATCCATGAGTATAATAAACATTACTGAACGAACATCTGTCGAAATAGAGGAAGATGCCGAAATTCTAACAACCGCATTACTATCTGAGGATAAGGACAAACAGGTTATGGATGAACTCAATTCGGAGGAGCCATCATCCTCGGACGAAGACGAATATAGGCGACGTGCGGTTTCGGTGTCATTTAAAGGTGAATTCTTGCAAAATTTCTTTTTTCCAAGCCTATCGGATATTTCGACCGAATCAAGCGAGCAATTATTGTCGTTGCGCCGTACACTTTCGGTAAAAGGGGATATGTCTTTTGTCGATGAAGGCCAATTTGTTGATCCACTGACTGGCGAACCGATAAAGGAGCCCATTGAAGCAGAAGCAGAAGAACAAGTAGCTGAAGTATCAGTAGAAGCAGAAGAAGAATCGTCTTCGTCAACCAGCTCCTTTGATTGGCCCTTCCCCTTAGAAGACGAAGTAGCTGCCCCGGTACAAGCAGATACTGCCGAATATGCTATGGAAATGCTAATGGAGATAAATTCAGCAGTTCGGCCAACAAGTGCCGAGTCGACAACAGCACAAGAAGCACAGCGCCTGGAACGCGAGAATCGACAAATTTGTATAGATTTTGTCTACAAAGCTATCGACGATGCTGTCAATGCTGCCGAGTATGTTGATCCCGATGCAATGCTCGCTAGCAAGCTGGATAAACATAAAGTGATCAGAGATCTACATCGAATCATTGCGGATTGCCTGGCCGCCAAGCAATTTAATCAAGATCTATGCAGCAAAATGTACGAATATTATCGCCGCGTTGGTCAATTTCGTGTATTTGAACCCTTGCCACGCGAAGCGGAAGAGGAGGAATTTAGGCGACAGAGGCACGCTTTGTATATGCTGGATCATTTAAAACAAAAAGCTGATGAAACCAAAAAACGTAATAATATGCTATTGGCCAGCGTGACAATGGATATGAATCATGTGCGAAATATATCGCTTTCAACAGTCGCATTACTGGAAAACCGCATTCGTAATACCCTGTCGCGCAAGGATCTACAGTTTTTGCCTCGCATTGTCGAACATGAGCTGCGGCAAATGCAAGCCATGCGCAATGAGATTAGCGATAATCGTCTCTGGCTCATAACCAGGCAGCATACGCTAGGCAGAGTGATCGAGGTGGGTCATCTTCAACTTTTATTCAACTTCCACAAATTGCTGATAAATGTAGTGTATAATAAATCAATATAGCCATGTCTTCCTGTCCGTCCGTCCTTTAGTTCATCCCATCTAACAGCCTAATGTCCATCGATACCTCGCAATTAGACTGCAATTTTTAGGCCGACGCTTAGAGTGTAAATTTTTTATAGTCGTTCATTCCTGAACCATTCAAAAATAATCGAATACTTTTGGTACATTTGGTTTCCTTCTTAGCGCAAACGCAACTTTGATCAAATCACACCAGACTTGACCATGGATGAATTTTTGAATGCACAACGCGATGTAACAGCCCTGGGCACAAAGGTTGAAGGTAATTAAAGGCAGTTATCAAAGATATTAAGCATAATCTTAACTAACCCAAAATCGTTAATACAGAACGCAATCGGGATTTGAACCGAATGCGTGATCGTTCTACCAAGCATGTGCATCAGTTGGCCTTTATAAGGGAAAAGATGAGCATGATATCGATTACGTTGATCAGTCACAAAAAAAATTTGAGCCGTAAGATCAGGAGGCAAAACGAATTGCGTGACGAGCTGCTCGAGGCGAAGCTGCAGCATGCCCGCCTAACGGCCCAGATAAGGGCGCTGCATGTGAAATGCGGCCTGCTCTATAAGCCAGCGCTGTTGCACGATTATGACGAGACCGTGGAAGCAGTCGAAATCAAACGGGAGAATGTCAACAAATGTAGGATTATCGTTAAAGATTTGGAGGCACGCATTGCCATGTTCGAGGGGCTGGCACGTTCCACTATCACATCCCAAGAAATGAAAAAACTTCGAAAAGTTCAGCTAAGGAAGCAAGCTTAGTACCAACATTTTTAGACACTTATAGTTTTATATAGCTCTAGAGTCTACATCTTCTACAATTAATATAAATACAGCAAAACCCAATAAAAACTTAAACTAAGCGTTGTATTTTCTGGGCTTTGGGTAAAACCCTCCCCAATTGCTACCCACTTGAAAGTTTCAGCTCCATAGCAACAATTTTCATATATATTTCTTCTTTTTCTTTCTTGCCAATATTGAACGACTTCATGACGCTAAATTAACTGCCAGACATTTCTATTAGCTGTTCATGAATGCCAAGCCAATCTACTCTTAATATATGCATGATGCTGTCCGCCTGATAACACTTGAAGTATGCCAGGGGCGGGGCTGAGCAGGGGTCACGTTGCTGCGACAACGTCCCCTCTCTTATCAATGCGGGCACGTGGTAAGCTTCCTGTCTAAATGAATTTAATGAAATGAAAATGTGCAGTCATGAGTCTAGAGATGACTGTAGTTGACTGTACCTGCTAGGCGAATTGATTCTAATACTAAACACTTCCGGAGCTATAGATAAAATGCTCATGATACAAATTTAAATACCAAACATCATTATATTCGAAACGAAAAAAAAAAACGGCTTCATTTAATACACTAAATACCCTTTTTATTTTATTTTATTAGAAAAACTTGATTTGCAATCAACTGTTCGTAAAAAGGCAATTTATTATTGCCAGCAGTCCGATACGAAATTTGAGATATTTTGCGAAAATTATGAAACTATTATCTTGTAAAAGCAAACATTTTTCCATTTTTTGCATAAGTTAATTTCAAATGTATTCAAAGTTCTATAGAAACTAGTCCATTAATTTCCACCAATTATATAGAAGTATCTATAGCAACGGGCAAGCCAAAGGTCAAATGCTTTAATAGGCCCAAAAACCTGCAGTCTGCAAATTCAGGGGTACTTAACATTTTTGTTTGTTTAATTTCAATTTTACTGGGAAACCATCCTAATCGGTCGGATAGACGCCTTCTAAAAAGGCTTCGAATTGGCGGAGGAGTCCGAACGCGGAGGAGATTGTTAAGTTCTCATCCAATCGATCTCCCAAATCGATTTATATACCCTTGTAAATGTTTATATTCGACTTAACATTAGAACAAGTATTATTGTAAATATTCATATAAATTTAATTTAATTTAATGACAACAAAATTGAAATAAAGCAAACAAATGTTAAAAAAAAAAAAAAACTGTTGTTATGCAATCAATTTTAATTAAACTTTTGTGAATATTTGCAATACTACTTATTCTTTAAAATCCTTATAAGGCGTGATGGGGTTCGGCTCTAAATAAAATTTCCCTTGCATGTATTGTTAAGGTATAAATTATGATTGTACAGATTTTACAATTAATAATAAACAAAAAACAAAAAAAAAAATACTTATTCTATTGTTAAGTCCAACACAAATCCCTTTTAATATCTTATGGACTCGATTTTCACAGCGGATCCCATTGTCACTCATTTGGAGTAAGAGTACGAAACTTTCTGTTGCATACAACAAGGCGCCGGCAAATGCAACGGCAGCAAGAATATGTCCTGGACTCGAATTGACTTCAAGGCATTGCCTGCTGCCTGCCGTCTGCTCCCCCAAGTAACTTTTCACACATGAACGCACACGGAATACCCCTAAGACAGCCCCATTCGGGGTGTTCCGCCTGTTGTTGTAAATCACAGAGTGAAACCGAAACCGTTAACGTGTTGCGGTTACGCTGCTGACTTTGCTGTGGCAAAAAGGAGAAAAAAAAATATAAAAAACGAGGCGAGTCATTCCATTTGGGCTTTATTAAATGCGCTAGCGGGCGGCGGCAGGCCCAAAGGAGGGTTAGCTGTGGAAGAGTGTGTGTGTGCGTGTGCGTGTGTGTGTGCAAAGCAGGGCAACGTCCTGTCTCACATCCTTTTATTGCGAATTTCAGTTTTTTCTCGTTGTTTTGCTTTTTATACTCCTTCAAGAAGTAAAAAAAGTTTATTCGTTCTGTTCACACTAAAGTATTTTTTTTTTTTAGACATGAAACTTTGTCCTCTAGGGGCTGGCCAATGGGCCAAAATCTAGATTTGCCACAATTTCAAAGCTATTGAAATAAGCTCTACTGCTAAGTTCTTCTAAAAATGGATCCCAAAATACTCGGAAAATTCGATATTTCTTAACAAATTTGGCAGATAGCCCAATTTAAGCTGTTGCTGGACTCTGGACGAGCATAAAGCAGTCCATTACAGCCGACTACAAATATGTTTACTTGTTTTTTTTTTGTGGAGTTTATCAAACGTCTTACATTTGTTTTGTTGTAAAATGGGTGCACACACACACGAGCACACACATAGGCAATCTTTGTGATTTAATGATTGCTTTTGAGTGCCGAATCTATGCGCTAGGCAAGTGGGTTTGCTGCTCCAGTTTCGCATTTCAACTCAAGACATACGAAATTGTTTCAATTTCTTTTCAGTGACCGTTTTTTTTTTTTGTATACCCTAATAGAGGGCATTTGAATTTTGTCAAGAAATGTGAAACGCACAATAAATAAACGATAAGGTATATATATACATATATATGTCCGTCCGCATGTCAGTCTCTTGATAATCTTGGACCACTAAGTTATCGAAAATTAAGTTTTTGCCTAATAGACTTAATTTTTTTTAAGAGCTTGTTTTTACGAATTCTTTCACACTGTATTTATATGGAATATCTTAAATTTAAGTCGAATAATCAGTTGTATGGAAAACATTTCCTTTTTTATATATATCTTGAACAAACTTAACAAAGTTGAGCTTCAAAATTGAGGTAAGCTATCGGCAAGAACATATCAAAACGAATTTAGCAAAGGTATAAACCACTTCTATGACATGTGATAAAAAAGGATATTCAATCTTCGACGTTACAATGGGCGTTTTCCTGTTTCTTTTCTTTTGCTGCCTGGGCAAAGATTTGTCAATTCCTTGACACAATGATGCATAACGTTATCTGAGACAGATTTCAGACAGAGCGAGAGAGAGAGGGGAAACAACAACAACAGCTTTTGCGAATTAATCTTCTTAATGTTTGTGCCTTTGGTTTAAGGTTTTCCAGCATCCATTTCCCAGGCACTAAGTAGAGCGCTTAGGTTTTTCAAATCACATAATGCGATTGTTGATTGTTGTTGAGTAGCCTTAAAGTGAACCGGGGTATGAGCTGTAATGCACAGACGAATATCTCTTTGGCACTAATTGCTGCACTTGCCGCATGTTGCATGCCCCACGGCCAGCGGCTGGCCTCGTTGGCCATGGCTGGTAGCCATGGGCACGCATAATCATATCAGCTTCCACACGATTTAACAGCGACGCAATTGAGTTGAGTTCGCATAGCAACTGCTGCTCCAGCTCCAGCTCCGGCTCCTTCATGTATCCTTGCCCATTGCACTTGGCTCTGTCTGGCTGACTTTTCCACACAGTTTCCATCTTTTCTTATTTTCACTCAACACTTTTTTGGCTTCGCATCGATTGCATGACAAATTGCGCAATTGCTTGCTAAAAGCATTGAAAAACCATTCGACAAATATGGGTGTTTGTATTGTACCTACAAATTGCAGAGAATCGCCCGCTCTCTCTCTCTCTCTCACTCTGTCTCACTCAATATCTATCTCTTTCTCCATTCTGTTATCCTGCGGTGCTTCCTGCTGCCATGACACTTAAACTGCGATAAAAATTCCGTTCGATAAGCATTTTGTTTATGCTGTGGCATGAGTTCTGCTCGGATTGATATAAGCTGTTGTTGCCCCGCAAACAAGTTGAATGTTATAATCGATGTTGGGATGTTATGGATATATGGATGGTAAGCAAACAAAAGTTGTTCATACCGTAACTTAATTTTTGACAGATTATTAATAAGGCAGCTATATGATATAGTGATCCATCCTGCAACAGAGGCTCGGTCCACCTTCTACCTCCTTGACAAAATTAAAAGGAGTATAAAAATATCTGGTGTATTTTAGGAGTGCTGGAAATGTTTATTGTTAGCCGAGGTCCTTGTCTGAATGCACTTTTCCAGCTCGCTATGAAAATAATTCTAAAATAAAAAAAAAAAAAAGATAAAGAGCTATGGAAGACAATGGTATATCGTACAGTTGGTTTGCAAATGCTGTACCATTTTATGCCTGCCTCCGGTTATGATTGTTGTTTTTGGCGAATTTCAATGCCATTTTTGTTGCCAAAGACTCCGCGTTCAACCAGCCAGGCAGACGGGCGCAGTCATAATACTCATTATGAACGGCTTAAGCGATTTCCCCAGGGTGCGCACTAAGCCTCTTCACAGTGATTGAGACGCCCATACACCCACTCACACACACATACATACACACGCACACACACACACACACCCACTCACCCATACACATACATATGGGCTTTATTTATGCATATGCATACAATAAACACACACACACACACACACACACACATACACACACTTGCTATCTATTTATTTTCCTTTTTTTTTTTTTGTAAAAGCAATCTGAATGAAATCCGATTTGCAGCGCATACTACAAACTCAGCAAATTGGCAGCTGGAAAAGAGTAGGAATTATTATTTGGCCACATCAATCAGCTGGGGAGTTCATGTCCGTCTCTGTGTGAGTGTGTGTTCCTTGTCATGTTTAACAAAACATGAAAATACGTAATAATTAACGTTTCATAATTTTTACGGAATTTCTGTCATTTTTTTTATGCGGCACGTGCTGCCCAAATGGACAACGGCGTCGCTTTGCTAATGAAAATAATCTGTCATCAAAGCCAATGATAAAGCCACCCCCAATATGTGCGAACAGGTGTGCCCGCCCGGCTCCAGCCACGTACAACATCCATTACTGTGTCAAGCTCTCCCCCTTGATGAATATGTTAACGTTGACTTCAAAACTATTAACTCAATACAAGAGTAAATTGTCCGGGCTAGAAAGGGTTGCGTTTGCAGGAAATTGCATTTGTGCGGACAAATCAGATAACATTCAGCCACGAAATGCTGACGTCCTGGGCCAGGATATAGCATTAAAAGCGCATCAGGTTTGCCAAAGGCGCATCAACAGCGGAAACTGTTGCTGTAATTACATTGGACGAACACAATCAAGAAGCAAAAAAAATATCCATCAAATATAATAAACTTGAACATGGCGAATTTCAAATGCTCTTACTCGCAAGGACAACTTTTGAAAATAAATAAATTATTAACAATTTAAGAAGTTTTTTTCTATAAAAAGTATAATTAATCAAAAAAATATATATGTATTATAAAAAATATATATATTATAATTTAAATAAACCTCCAACTCTATTGATGTGATCAATTCAATGAAACTATTAAACTACTGCAATAGTTATGTTTTGTGAGATCTACCTCACATATAAGGAAACTATTTTTATTTTTTTATTTGATCAATCCCTTAAATAAATTAAATATGATCTGTTTTATAGGATCTATATCATTCTGAATGGAATTACTTTTACTTTGTGGCAATCCCTTGACTTTTTTAAAGTTTTAAAGTTAAGCTCCATTAAACTTAATCAATAATTTTTTAAACAAATTGTTTCGTTTTGGATATTTGGAATATAGCTGATATACCCTGTAATACACTCACCCGAAGAACTGGTCATTTGCGCCCCATTCACCCATCCCGCAGCGTTCATCTTGGCATTTGCCCCATGGCCTATCCTTGACTTCAGCTTTGTTTGCGTCATTAAATTAAATATCCTGCTTTTCCCCCGCTCTGCCCCTGACATCCAAAAGGACCTTTAGCTGACTCTATGTCTGTGGACACACAATGCGCGCAATTTCTGTCATTTCCTTAATAGAAATCTTATCTTTTGTGACGCCTACGCGTTAGAGTCTGTACCGAAGGCTCCAGCGCTAAGCCGGATATCGCACCTTTGACATCTGCCTGCGGGGAGCCGGGGTGCGCTTAACTGGACATTATTGTTGCCCGATTTGTGTGTGTGTGTGTGCGTATGTGTATCTGAGTAGCCCAGCCCCTTAAATTTAGTGTGACATTCATATATTTCGGAACAAGCTCTTTCGTAAACCCCGAAGTAATAAAATTCAATTACTGTTATAACTAAGAAATAGGCTGAACAATAATATAAATCTCCTCTCTCTACCTATTTCTTTTTAATGAGCTGCTGCTCCGTCAAGGTCGTCGCCTGCTTTAACAAGCAGACAAACCATTCGCCGCTCAATGATGCACTGGGCCCATTTCCGGATGAGGTCATAATGTCGGCGCTGGATCGCATTCTGTACTACTCAGGCGCAACCAAAATATGCCACAAGCTCGATATGGCTGCCATGCGTAATGAAAGCACAGATACACATAGATTTGCTTGCTATATAAATTGAATTTCCATATTGCAGGGCAAAGCTTGGCTTCTGCTCCGACAGCGGAGGCGACAGCTTGTCCGGCATTGTGTCCCAAGGTCAGTGGCTCTTCCGTTTGCAGCGGAACAGGCGGGGTGGCTAAGAGCAACAGCAACAGCAGTTTGAGTAAATATGCCAGTGCCAAGTCGACGACGAAGTGTAAATCGCCAACCGTATCCTGCACTCCACCAAGAACGTCCAGTCAGAGATCCAAGTGTACCATAGGCAAGCCCGTGAGCTATCCACGACTTCGTACGCCACGCGTGGACTTTGCCCATCCGGTGAGCGATACTCGCCAGGTCGCTGGCGGCCCAACCATACCGGAGCGCCTGAAGCGCTCGCTCTCGACCTGCTCCATAGCATATCGTCACCTAAAAACCAAGCTGCATGATTGCGGACAAAAATGGCTGTGGACGCGCTTGATGCGTTCCGACAATGGCTGCCACGTCTACGAGGTTTACAAGAACTCGGATGTGGAACGTGCCCCTTGCAAAATGTCGGGTGCCAAAGAACCAGTCATCCTCTTTCTGGTCATGCCCAACGGCCAAGTCATGCCATTCGAATCGCTGTCGACCTACTAGAGATTGGAGGCACAGATAATATTAATATTTGATATTTTGGGTTGAAGCATAGCTATTCGAAATTTCTGTACGCCTATGTGCATTACAATAGACGTTTTTAACGTGTTGTAGCTTATACAAAATAGTTTTTATAATCATTATTTTTTAACATCTATATGGTGCGGATAGCCACTAAATTTTAAAAATTGCGAAATAAATTAGGCAAGTTGAAGGAATAGATTCGTATAAGATAAATAAAAATATTTTGTTATAAAAAATATATTACTTTCATTAATTATCTCAGTTTCTTTAAATTATCTATTCTTTAAATACTATCACAGCTGCCGCTAGGCAATCCGAATACCCTTGCGGAATAGCACATAGACCGTACCGGTGCTAGCCAACATGTAGAGCATTAAGATTGTAACACATTCTGCACTACTACGTTTTGATGGCTCCAGCGTTAAATTGACAAGGCCCGTGAGAAGATTCGAGAGCATAAAATAGGTTAAACCGTTCATATTAATTGCCTCCGCAAAGGCAGGCAAACGTGATGGCCTAGCTAGTTTAGGGTCAGCTGCTAATGAATCATCGGCTTTGTCTTCAACCGGCTCCGCTGTTGGCACCATCAGACAGAACTCAAACAGGAACGAGTAGAGAAACAGCATTGTCGCGCCTACGCTGAACGACCACAGCACATAGCCCGCGTTAAAGGTCACACGCGCTATCCCAAACAGCTGAACACTGACAAACACTAGCGTCCAGGCTGTAATGACCACGAGCAACATGTTGCGCAGCTTGGCAATGAACTGATTATAGTTAAGCTTATCCTGGAACTTATACCATTCGCCACCCCATATGCTGACCAGATAAAGCGCTACGCAGCCAGGCAGAGCGCTAAGGCCCTCACGATTTGCTCGTAGAAAGCCAACGCGATCCGTATCCGACATGACAAAGTCCGAGAGACCCAGCTGCAACAGAAACTCGTGGAGCGCCAAAATAGCTGTTGAAAATAGGTTTAACTAGAGCTGAAGCACTGATAAACAGCATACTCACCCATAGATAGCGGAAGTAGTTGCTGATTGGAGCGAGCCAACAGACTGGCAATGCTGCCAAGGAGTTTTGTGAATCCCAAACAAAAGAACGCATTCAAATGCTGGCCATACTCGTACTCATCCTGATGATAGTCTATCATTGTGATGATAGCAGTGCGTAACAAGCCCAGCGCCAGCAATTGCACCACCACTCGAAACTGCCTTTTCAAATCACCGAAATACCGGGAACGATGCGATACCACGCCCATTGTCATGACAAACATGCCAATGCCCACATCCATTAATGATGCTCCATATCTACGACTCTTCCGCCATTCAACGGGAAAAGCCTTAAAATCAATTGCCAAAATGGCACAACCAGTGCACACATACGCCGTAGAGCGCACCAGCGTAATAGCCGAAGGCCTCTGACCAACCTTGTAACAGTGACTAGTCGCGGCTGCGGAAGCTCTGCCCCAAATGCCAGAGTGCCAAAGCAGAAATGCAATAAATATGGCAGCTAACGCACAAAAATATTCATTATAATCACTGGTCACCGTATTGCTGCATATTGTGGGCGTGGCAATCAGCAGGAACTCCATTAGAAAGCGTCGCGTTGAACGCAATGGCAAATGTTGGCAAAGCTGCTGCGATAACGTGATGCCTATCAATGTCGGTAATATTGCAGTCATTACATGCAGGCCAGCTCGCAGGGAATTCCAAGAATCCTTATCTGGAATATTTATCAGAGATGCGACATCCGTGTGGGGACTACAAGCCTTTTGCTGCATGTATTTTTGAAATATGTGTAGCGGAGCTGATGGAAAACATTTATCCGATGTAACGTACACATCATAGTGGTAGATTTGATTATAGCCAGACTCTAGAGCACTTGCACCAACCATAATTAAGTAGCTGGGCTTAAATTGCAGTTCACGTAAACTTCCAATTGTGCCGCAAACATATAAAAAACATATGATTTTGCAAGAGTTGCCACAGTGCAGCGTACATTCCCATCGATAGTAATATTGGTCGATTATTTACTGCGTCGATACTTTTGATTTGCAAGCGTTGCCACATCACATTTCAATTAATCAATTGAGTTGCCACATTGAAAGTTCGCGCCATATACATGTTATCGATAGTCGATATAATTGTATCGATAATACCATTTCAAGTTTAAATAAATAAATGCATTGGTTAAACAAATCACAAAGCGCTAAACTAAACTAAAGCTCATTATGCTGAGTTGTGGTTGTCGACTGAGGGAAATCCTTATGGGCGCGCACTTTTGTAGCCGCCTGAGCGACTAGATGTACAAATTCATCCACATCAAAACGATAGTTTGTAAACTTGGCATGCGCGCCACCCTCCGGATGATGACCCTCATCTTGGGGATATACGAGATCAGTTTGCTCCCAGGTGATATAGTGTACGCCACGCAGACGTGCCAGATCCTTGTAACAATTGGGATCCTCGCAGTTGTACAGCTCAAACAGGCATGCCCAGTTGGGTAGAAAGAGAAGGTGCGTCAGCCCAGCCCCATGCATGCCAATCAGTATATCTGAATTTCGCGTGATTGCCAATTGCTCGGTAAAGGAGAGACTATGTAGGTAAATAAAAGTTAACTACAGCTGAAGGAATATTTAAATAAAAAATTACCGTTCGTATGAGACACGCTGTACAACGTACTCCTCGTTAGCCTCCAACTGGGCTAGCAGATCATTCTCGTTGAGCACCTGTCTGTACTTTGTGCGACGCGATAAATATGTTATGCGCAGCTTACGCTGTGGCAGTGGCGGCTCGAAGGGTATCTGCAGGCGATGCAAAATGAACTCGGAGAAGGCGCGAAACAAACCGCTGTTGGAGCAGCCCTGAATCTATAAATGCAATGGACATTATGGATTAGATTTTGATGGGCATTAGGGTAAACTTCAAGCACTTACAATGGGCGTATTGTAAAACAGTCCAAAGATCATGCGTGGGAGCAACGGCAGCACGACATTCCGGAAGCATACACGCTTGCCCTGCACATCGCTCAGCGTCCAAATAGGTCGCTGTGTAAATGCCTTAAAGGTATCCCGGAACGGTGAATCATATGGATAAGTCTCCCATATGATTATCTGCACATCTGTGTTAAACGCAGCCGGATGCGATTGATTCACAAACAACGAGGCATACAAATTGAAAAAGTCACAGAAATGATGATACATATTGTACGTGGCATCGATTTTCATGATGAATGTGGGCACATTCAAAACCAGATCACAGGCGCCACTCTCCAGCAGCGGCTGCGGCAGCACATCGAAATTTCGCAGCTCCGGTCCCCACGATTGAAGTGCAGAACCAATGTGTTCCATTTCGCTATTGAGACGTGTGCGATTTAGCTCACAATGACCCAAAATCTGGCCGGGCTTCAGCACATCCATATGATAGCGAATGCGCTCCTTACGCTGCGGCAGATCGCGCAGATCGATGAGCAAATTTCGACCACGACAGAAGCGTAGATACCGAGTGCATTCTAGCGATGAGTCTGTCAGATATTTAGGCAAGCACTGGGGCATCAGTTCGGCGAGCTGCTGTTGTATAAAACCAAAGTCCGCCTGATAGTAGAAGGTCTGCACCTGCGCCTCCTTGCTCTGCACCCAGCCGGTGTGGTCTCCAGGACAGTGGGGCGTCTGAAAACGCGCCTCGGCGCTGCAATTACGTTCATGCCCCCAGCAGGCACGAGATTCCGTTCTGGTTGTTGCATTAACAGACAGCAGTTGGCGCTTAAGCTTGGGAAACGTGTTGAGGTAGCGTACGAGATGATCGGACGGCAAATTGGGCAACGTCAGCGTATGCTTCGTTGCGTCCGGGTTCGTTTGGGCAAGACTCTGGCACAGCTGCAGCGTCAGCATAAGCAGCGCATTGAGTATTAACAGTTGCAGCATCTTTATAAGACTATTAAGTACATTCGTTGGCTCACACACTTTCTAGACGATGCTCACATTTTCAACGGCTGCATTTCACGGCCAACAATGGGCAGTGCTTGCGCGATGATCTCACTTGTCGGCTGATAGATGATGATTATGATTTAGTTAATTCCAACGACAGACACAGCGACAGCAGCTGCCTGCGCCCGTCCATCAAAGGTGCGACATGCCAAGAAAAAAACACTAAAACCTGCTTAGAACCAGCAGCTGTTTCGTACAGCTGTTCTAAAGACAGGGTGACCATACAATGATAAATGCTAAGAAATCACAAGGTTATGCTTACAGCTCACCTTTAACAGTGTGCTACGAGTGTGAGAGAGACAGAGAGAGAGAGAGAGAGAGAGAGAGGAGGACGCTTTGCTCTTAATTGCAAAATTATTGCACTTATCATTTATTTAGATATATTAATATTTTTATTTACACTAATTGTTTTTTGCTTATTTTGATTATTAGCTAACTAATTCCATATCACACAAATTTACATGCAATATGTTTATAAAAGTTCTGACGTCACACTCAACCACACAGCTTATCTGAAAAAGCCGCCACCTTAATTTAACTGAACACATCTCTGTTCGAGAAACTGGTCTCATTGCATTTCGCATTTGACTCTTGAAGGGTATAGTTTTCTTTTGCGTATACATTTTTCAATTAATGCTGGTAATTAAAGCCACAAATCACGTGTAATTGAAGTCAACTACAATGCGTAATGTGCCGAAATCGTGCGTATTCAAATCAAATACAATTATTTCAATATTACTACTAACATGTCAATCACATTTCTCTACAGGCTCGGCCTATTAGTTACAACACCTGGCGGTAGCGCTGTCGGAGGAGCCACAGACAGTGGCATATCGACAAGTGGTCGACACAACAGTTTGGAGGACATCAATCTGGATCAATTTCTAAAGACCATCAACTACGAAGACACAGTCAAGCAGCTGGACATATACTATGGCATCGGTAAATAGCGTAATTAGGCGGAACCACCAATCTTTCTCGCATTGCGCTCACTTTATATAACCTTGGAGGCGTCTGTGTAGGGCAGCCAATTTAGCATCAATTGTTGCCACGACGCTGCGTCTCATCGCGTAGCGTCTTTGATTCTATTTATAAGCATTTTGCAAAATATCGGCACACATTTTACTAGCGTCTCGATATGTTGCTCTCGGGGCTTCTCTCCCTTCGCTCTGTCTCTCTAGCTCTCTCCAAAGCAAACATTTGGGGTTTGTTTATTTGCATTTGTCAACAAAGCCGCACAGCATGTGCTTGCTGAAGCCATTGACACTTGACTAATCAAGTTTTAGCACTCTGTATTTAAAGAGTATGTTAGATCTATATATTTGAATAGTCCAATTGCCTTGGACAAAGGATTTTCTTAAAATATTAACTTTGTCTTAATTGCGAACCATAAACAAAAACCAAAATAAGCACCATGGTATGAAAAAAGAACCGTGAGTAAGACCTAGGTCCAAAGTATAAGAACCTTTGGACTCAAATTTAGCCCGAACCTTGTATATGAAAATATTTATGACTCACAATATTTTCAGTAAAATGGGCGTTTAATTAAAAGTTTAAAAATATATGACTTACCCATATTGGAAACATGGTCCAGCTTTATGAAGTTACAAAGCAGGGAGTTGGTTCAAGCTATAATCCTTTTATATTAATCATATTTCAATACATTTTTCCCCCTCCTGTAGTTAAACGCCAGCTGCTGCGCTATCAGAGCCCCATCACAGGCCTGTTTCCGGTGATGAGCACCGATCAGGTGGTGGGATCGGTGCGTGACAGTGTCTATTGTGCTGCTGCTGTCTGGAGCTTGTATCAGGCGTACAGACGCATCGATGATGATCGCGGCAAGTCATATGAGCTCGGCCAGAGCACGGTCAAATGCATGCGCGGCATTCTGGAGTGCTGGGTGAAGCAGGCATCGCGCGTGGAGCTCTTCAAGCAGCGTCAGTCGAATCAGCATGCGCTGCATAGCAAGTTCCAATTGCACACGGGCGAAAAGATCTATCCCGATGAGTTCTACAATCATTTGCAAATTGATTGCGTGAGTATTCAGAAGCTTTTTTCCGGCATACCTAATCCTCTAACTCACCATTTGCTTTTTTACAGGTCTCCTTGTATCTGCTTTTTCTAGTGCAGATGATCACCTCGGGCCTGCAGATCATATACACACACGATGAGGTGGCCTTTGTGCAGAATCTGGTTTACTATGTGGAGCGAGCCTATCGCACCCCCGATTTTGGCATGTGGGAGCGTGGCTCCAAGTACAACAATGGCACACCCGAAATACACGCGTCTTCTATAGGTAAGTCCACTCTAAGCGAAGATATTGGCCCATGCTAGTGTATTTTGTTTTAGGCATGGCCAAGTCCGCGCTGGAGGCCATCAATGGCTGCAACTTGTTCGGCGAGAAAGGCGCCTCCTGGAGCGTCGTCTACGTGGACATTGATGCGCACAATCGTAATCGCAGCATCTTTGAGACCATGTTGCCGCGTGAGTCCAGCTCGAAGGTGTGTGCTTATTTAACAATTACGACATGTATCCGAACGTGTAAAACCCTCTCGCTTTCAGGGCGTGGATGCATCGCTGCTGTTGACGCTCTCCTTCCCAGCCTTTGCCTCGCATGAAGATCGCTTGGTGGAGCAGACCAAACAGAACGTGGTCAATCGGCTGCGCAGCAAAATGGGTTTCAAGCGTTTTACACGCGATGGTTTTCTTAGCAAACCGGAGGACAAAACGCGTCGCTACTATCAGGCCGGCGAGTTGAAGGAGTTTGAGGGCCTTGAGTGCGAGTGGCCATTGTTCTTCATATCGATGATCATCGATGGTGTCTTTAAGAATAACAATGAACAAATTGAGGAGTTTCAGAATGATTTGCGCCGCTGCCTGCACACCGATGCCAATGGTGATCCAGTGGTCACCATGTACTATGCGCCAGATGGCGAGGGCTCCTATATGCGTGCGCCATCCCAGTCGCTGTTCCTGTGGGGTCAGTCGTTCTTCATCATTGCCCAGCTGCTGACCGCTGGTCTGCTACACATCAACGAACTGGATCCGATCAGACGCTATCTGCCCAGCTATAATCGACCACGACGCGCCGGTCGTTATTCGGCTTTTCAGGTGAGTTGTGGGCGGTGCGGGTAACTGGGTGTTAGGGGCTATACAAAAGTATACATTAATATATACCACTGAACCGGGGGATAAGGGCTCAGCTAACTGCCGGCGCCGCTGCTGCGTTTCTGTGTCTGCTGTGTGTTCGCTGTCTAATTGGTATTCGATTTAATTTGTAATGTTTCTTTAGTTTCTATTATACTTTGGGTTAAGTAATTGAATTGGCTGTTTAATACTACTTATACATATATGAATATATATATATATATATTTTGTCCATTCTCTACTACCACATATATACAACAATTACTACTACACTACTACTGCTCCAATACCCAAAACAAAACCAAAAACTATATATACCCACAACCCATAAACAAACCCCAAACATTTGTAATTCTATCGGTTGGCATACAATATTATAAACAGGGCAAAGCTTTCGATGATAAACACAAAGTAAGTAGCCCGAATTCCTATACAACAAATTACTCGCACTCAATCTGATCGATCTATCGATCTATTGTCAAAATTAAAACTTTTATGTTAAAAAAAGAAGCGCTTTTTTTTTGTTTTAAGATGTTTTGCACATTTTTTATCCAAATTTTATTATTTCGCGACACACACACACTAAGCACTGATCGAAAATATGCGTATGTATATAGTATAGTATATATATATGACATTATTTCGATCCATCCCTGCAGGAATTTGTATATTGCGGTTCGAATGATTAAAAGAGAGCAAACTATCTAAGAGAAGCAGGTCTGAAATGATGCAGGGTTTTTTTTTTATAGATTTTTATTTAAAACTCATAGCACACACATTCTATAACCCTTTCAGAAGAAGGAACTTTTTTTCTTTAATCTGGATCTGAATATACTTAGTGTAATTTCTTCATGACTTTTTCAGCGTTAGGTAATGAATAAATTCATCTATAACTGTCGTTTTTATTGCCAGGTTTATAAACTTGAATAAATTAAACAGAGTTGAGATTTTCGAATATTTCAGATGTACCAAAAGTAATCTCAACGTAGAGCACAGCATTTCCTGCCGGGATACATACACACACACACACACACACATTCAAAATACTTATGCCTTTTAGTTGCTTTTTAAAAACAGAAAAGAAACATTTAAAAATACAATGGCTGCGTTTATTGTACATAGTTAAATTAATTACCCTTGCTTACTTGTATCTAAAACAAAAGTATTTTCTTTACTCTTTTCGGTACTGTTTCTTGTCTATAAAAAAAAAATCTACTGCATATTTTGTTTCCACACACGCTCTATACATAGGCTAAACCGGGCACTGTAAGTAATGGTTCACCAGATCTTGGGTTCTTTCACTTCTACGTAGCATTCAGTTTGGCTTCTTGTTCCTTAACCGATTGTACTTAACCACCAAAGCAAGCAATTAATTGTTAGTCAAAATTGATTAATATTTTTTTGATTTTTTTTATTTGCTACATAATCTTTAAATTTATTTTATTTTTTTTTTTTTGCGGGAAGCAAATACTTCAACAAAACTAGCAGAATAGTCCGCAAATTTATGCTAAAAAAAAAAATAGTTGCAAAAATTAAATGAAATTGTTTCCCTTAATTAAATGCCCATTGTTAAATGTACATATACATATTTATTTTTCTACTAAAAAACCCAAAAATGAAATAGAAAAGACGCGTACCGCTAATATTGGATGCAATGCAGGTAATTAGTGGTTATACTGTGCGGGTCCTGAGCTAAGAATCTCATCTCTAGTCAACAAATTGGCACTTCAAACGGCAAAAACTTTCAAAATTTGGGATTAATATTACCTGTTTCATTTATATACTAAATAAATCAAGGCTGCAACCCACAAAAAATGATGTCGCTCGCAGTTTTTAGGCTTTGGTTCGAACAATTTATACAAATTTTAGTCAATTTTCCACTAGAATCTTCTTTCAAAAAGAATAAAAAAAAAAATAACACTTGTAAATGTAGTAACTTTTAAGCAAACTATTTTAAAAAAATGTTATAGTACGGGTAGTTGTTACGGGAAACGGGTTGAGTTCACGTATGGGTATAATTACTTTACTCTAATGGGAATTCCAGGTTCGAACCGGATGGGCTTAAAACTGGCTTGCAGCCTTGTCATAAAGCCAAACATTATTCTTTATAAATGTACAATTTGCTAATACACAATTGCCTGAACTAATGATTATTAATTTAATTAATTTAAACTAGCTGTAAGTAATATATTTCTGTACAGTTTGTTACCAGTTATTTTTCCGATCTCTCTTTAGTGTTTTGTGTCTCCGGCATGTTTAAAGCCCTCAATACCTCTTGTGCTGTATGCTCCACCTTTTTCCCCGCCTTCCTTTCTCTGTCACTGTTTGACTCTCCACCAACTGTTTTATTGATTGTTATGCTAATTGTTTATGCATTTTCGCATTTGGCTAGTACAATTTTTTACTTTTCCATGTAAAGAATTGGCTATATGCATTTTCTAACTGCTTAACACCAGAAGATTGTGTCTTAAATATCATTACTTACCGTTGTTTCTGCGCATCCTTACAGGGCACCGCCACAGATTTGGTGGTGCAAATTGTGCTTATCGCCGAGTCCATGCGTCTGCAGGCCATGATGGCCACCTATGGCATACAGACCCAAACGCCGCATGAGGTAAGTGAGAAATATATTAAAATTCATGTTACCAATCAATATATATATATAAATATTACTTACAGGTGGAACCTGTGCAAATCTGGAGCTCTACGGAGCTGATTAAAGTCTATCAGCATCTGGGTGTCAATCATAAGGTGGGCCTCTCAGGTCGTCCTTCGCGCCCAGTTGGTTCGCTCGGCACCAGCAAAGTCTATCGCATCTGCGGCATGACCGTACTCTGCTATCCGCTAATTTTTGAGGTGTCCGATTTTTATTTATATCGCGACATGGCGCTTTTGATCGACGATATCAAAACGGAGCTGCAATTTGTGGGCAAGTACTGGCGACTGTCCGGCAGGCCCACAGTCTGCCTGCTAATACGCGAGGAGCACATGCGTGATCCGCAGTTTAAGGAAATGCTTGATCTGCTTGCCATGCTCAAGAAGGGCTACTGCGATGGTATGAAGGTGCGCATTGGCCGACTCCAGAATCTTATCAGCAGCTCCTGCATCGAGCATTTGGATTTCATGAACCAAAGCGATCTAACAGACAACGAGAATGCGTTCTCACAAATCAATCACGAATATATAGGTTATCAATCACTGACAGATGTGCCTAAGGCCCTTACCTATGTCGAGGAGAAGATTTCCGTGGCGGTAAGTCGAACAGTTGGATAATCTACCGCTCCCTAGACTAACCTTTGAGTTTTCACAGCACTTTGACAGCAAGCCCACGCCGGATATTATCAATGCGCTGCGCAACACTGAATCCATCTATTGCCTGTGCCAACTGTGGGGCATTCTGCTCAATCGCGAGGGCTCCAACTTTGAGGTTAATGGCCTCAATGTGAGCACGGCGCTGACGCAGCTCTATCATCGCGCAGGCTCGTTGCGCTATTGGCGCGCCGTGCGCTACTGTTCCTCGTTGCTGCATCACATTGTAGACTCAATCAGTCCGTTTATAACCACTGTGCTGGTTAATGGCAAGGAGCTAACCGTTGGCATCATTGGCCAAAAGGAGACAGTCTTCGATAAGCCGATGACGCCCGCAGAGATTCAGAATGTTATGTATACCAGCGTGCAGCCATATAATGTGATTCAGGCGGTGTTGCAGCAGGAGGTGGTTTTATATTGCGGCCGTCTTATAGCCACAAATCCGTCCATGTTTCGTGGCATATTGAAAATACGCATTGGCTGGGTACTTGAAGCCATGCGCATCTATTTGCAAATCTCTGGACAACAAAGCATTGACGTGGACAATTTGTCGCCGTTCCAGGTGCGCATTCTCCTGCAGAAGGTGCTCACTGTCAGTGAATGGGCCGTTGAGGAAAAGTAAGCGTGTTTTCGTGAATTATTTCAATTGTTAATATTAACTTTTTCTCCTCAGACTAACAACGCTACAGCGCCGCCAGCTGGAGGGCTGCCTATGCCGCGTGCCCAAGCACTTCTATAACAAGATCTGGGAGATTCTGCAGCGCACGCCACAGGGCATATTGACGCAGGGTCATCATTTGCCAGCCACACCCACGCTGACCAGCATGAGTCGCGGCGAATTGACCTTCAACTTGCTGGTTGAGGAGACGCTCATCTGCATTGATCGTCCGGAGCGACGTCAGATTACCGTCGAGCTACTCTGCATTGTGGCTACCATTTTGAATCGGTAAACCAAATCCCGTTTTGCATAGGGACAATGCGCTAATGTTTCGTCTTAATTTCAGCAATCCCGAGCTGCATTTCAAGCAGGCGCTTGATTTGGATGGCATCATTGCCGAAGCCTTTGCCATGTACTGTAAGGACAACAATATACAGCTTAAGCCGAAGTCGTCGGAGCAGCAGATTCTTCCAAACAAGCAGGAGGATCTAACCGCCTTTTATTCGCTGCCCTACTCAGAGACCACGGGCTATTTGGCGCGGGCGGCTGTTAACAAAGTGCTTCAGGGCGGCGTCTTCTCGACAGCCGAGGATGGTGTGCAGCTCGATGGGGATCACTTGCACGATGACAATTGCAAAGTGTCCTAAGAAGATGTCCTTTATTTAGCTTTTGTACATAGCATAGTACAGCATATCCTTGTTGACCAAAAACTAAAACCACAATCCAAAGTAGTTCGAATTTGTAGCCTATTCTATTTTATTTTAATGTGTGCCACCATCTTCTTGTCCTTTTAGTTTATAATTAAATGTTATCTCTATAAAAAATTGTGTTTGGCGAATAACGACATAATTTCGCCGATTTCGTCAATCTTGTCAAATTAAAGAGAATTAATATCGGCAAAATGTAATAGGCGGAGATATGTCGGCAAAATTATGACGCTATGCCTTATTTGTCCTAATTGATGATTAATGCCGTGAGAGCCCGAAAATTAATAAATAGTATGTTTTGGAAATTCTATCCGCAACATACGTGTGCAAAAAAGGTACATTATTCAAAAATCTAAAAATTTGAAATGTCGATATTTCAGGTAAATGAAGGCCAAATTGTTACATCTCTGGCCAAGGCTTAGTGAATAGGTCAGTAGCAGGGGCGGTTGGAAAGCCCTTGCAATTGTTGCGCTTGTAAAGCCCTGCATCAGGGCTTTACGCAATGCCCGGCCAAGGCGTATCGATTATATGCCAATGCCCCCTGCTTACATCACCTTCAAGCTGCATGGTTATAAAAGCACCGCGTCGGTGGTTCGCTCTGTTTACTATAATTCCAACGCTTGTCGGTTCAGCATGCGAGCACCCGAGTGGATGAGCAATGAGATGGCACGTTTAACATCGAAACTGGAGCGCTATAAGCCAATGGGCAGTGGCTACAATCGCATACAGTCCATACGTCTATCCAAGAGCGTTACACAGATGCTCAACAATCCTCTGCCCAAAGCCGCCACCAACAGCACAGTCAATGCAATACGTGAGGAGGAGAGCTCCTTTACGACCCCTCGACGGCGCGGCGTGCTAAGTCGCAGCGAGTCCCAGTGGGAGGAGGTGTATCCAGCGGTCAAATTTAGTCGCCAGCAGAGCAACGAGAGCGCCAACAGCCTGGACAGCAGAGACATCAAATTCACGCACTATCGCAATTGCTCAACGCGCATCACCTGAATCCAGTCTACTATCCCATCCGAGGATTTCATGTTATTTACATATTTACATTTTTGTTAATGAAAATAAATTAAGGTATTGAATTAAATTAAATTACCGAAGGTCAACAATTTTCATAAATTACCAGAATTATATAGAATGACCAGATTTATGTGGAATATATATTCCTAAATCTGGTAAGGATTGCATCATAAAACATATTAATTTGGTTCAGTCGAAAAATTCAATAACAATTTAGTACAATTAATTTTGATTCTCTATTTGCATAGTAAGTATTTTTTCATAGGATTTTTGAATGCTAATTAAAATATTACAAGGATAAAAATAGATACATTTATTTGCAATAGTTAGTTTTACTTTTACGCTTATTTTGTTCATTGCTTGGTATAAAAATTAGTTTAGTGTTTGCTCAGTTTATTACATTTATTTATTCGTTTTAATATGTATGTATAAAATAGCACGTATAGTTGTTGTTGGGTGTGTGTATTTAATCTATAGCTAATTGGAGATTGCCTATTCGAGATACATATGTATATGTATTTAGTATAAAGGCATAATAGCTTTGATAGCTTTGATATTGATTTGAAGCCAAACACATTTAAAGCGTTTTATAATTCTTGCATTTTGATATGAAATTGCGGTCTAGCAGTAAAGCAAATGATATTTGCATACGATATAAAAAACAATATGTGATATATATGATATGCCTAGAAATAAATTCAACGCTTTTATATATGCAACACACACAGATATAAATATATATATATGATAATAGTTAAGTCCGTAACAAACTTTTCAACATATACAATACATAATATCAATTCACTTTTGTTTTGTTTTCTAAGGCAACATAATTACATATTTACGTAGAAAATATTTGATGTAATTTGAAGTTTGCGCACACGACACGAATTACATTTACATGTGATATATGAGACATTACATTTAATATAAATATAAATATTTATATATGTATATATAAATATAAAACATTTATTAATTATGTTTTATGATTTAACTTACACAAATAAGTTGAATGCTTCATGCATATTTTAATTATATGTTTTACAATAAAGTTATTTGTAAAATGCTAAAAATCCCTGAATATGAGTTCTCATTATTATTATTTATATTATTAATCTTTTATATGACTTAGATATTAACTTAGGCAAATTCTCTATCAATTCGTTTAGCTAATCAATTTTAGTTTTAAGTTAACAAACTGCAACACTTTTCGCTTACTTAAAATTAGTTAGACTGTTGGTTTTAGTTACAATTCCTATATAGTATGCATAAAGGTATTGTATGCCCTATAGAACACGCACTAACTATCTAATTAGTTGGTGTACAAATTCCTTTAACGTTTACACGGGTTTTTTTTTACACACGGCAGTACTTGACAAAGTTTAACTACATAAATATTGTAATTAATTGTAAGTGTATTGATGTGTGTGTGTGTGTGTGTGTGTGTATTCTGTATATTGTTTATCTAACTAATTGCTGTATAAATTTAAAAAAGGACTATGAAACCTACGTTAACGAAACATACGTACTAAACATACGTAAACAAGATTCTAATTAACTCAAACATTTAGATTAGACCTATGTTATTGTTGTTGTTGCTGTTGATATTGATGTTGTTGTAGCTGCTCGGGTCGACGCACGCTCATGCGACTGGGTATGGAATCGGTGTCGCCATCATCATCCATATAATCCTCCTTAGGGCGCGTCCATTTGATCAGCGTTTCGGGTGAGCGATACAGGAAGAGTAATTTGGCAAAAAGATCCTCCTCCAAAGCGAACTCCAGTGCCTCACGCACCTGTAAAAACGACAGAATTATTTTTATTTCTCATATTTTTATAACTTATCAGCACTCACCAGGTATATGTCTAGGCACAGCTGCAGCACCCGATCCACGTAGGGCAAGTCCTCAAACATGATTTTACGATTTTGGCCACCAATAAACGATTTCATGAATCGCGAGGCCAATAACACGAATGTAGTATAAAGACCAATGATGCTGGGAGGGGGGAAAAAAATAAAATAAAAATACATTAGATATCAGGCAGATATTTAATGGAGGAGTTGTTACTTACCCGCCCGCTGTAAGAAAACTGAAGGTCGATGGGAATTTCTTGTCGTTAAACGTGTACATGACGATGCCCGAGCTGCAATCGCTGTAGGGCAAGTCCTTAAGCGTGTTCATGTAAAAGCTGTCAGAGCAAAAATCGCGTATCTCCCACCAGAGCCCATTAGTTGCATTATCGCGATGCATTTTAATAACCAACGGTCGATACTCCTGCTCCTTACCACTCAGTACAGTCACGACAAACGCATCACCCGAGTTGAGCACCTTGATGAACTTGGGTATCATGCTTGGCAGCACCACGACCACCTCGCTTGCGTTTTTGGCTGGGATGGTGGCATTGGCATTGGTGGTGCCATTGGCGTTGGTGGTGCTATTCGCATTGGTGGTGTCGTTTATACTGCTGGCGCCATTGGCATTGGTGGTCTCATTGGCATTGCTATTGACTTTGCCCTCTAGTTGCTCATATGTCTCGTCGAGCATATTGATAAGTGCAGTGCGTCCCGCGAACGTTTCATCCAGCTTGATGATGTGCTCATCGCCCACGTTTTCCTTGAGACCCTTGGCGGGCGCCTTGCGAGTCAGCGAATAGGAAAAGCGCGCAATGAGCGTGTGATCTATAAGATATATTGATAAAGGATAATCCAAATTCGGCTTAAAACAACCGTTAACAACTTACTGTTACGCAAATCGTTGGCCAAGCGCTGCCTATCCGGCGGAGCTATATTCCACAGTGAGGGCGAGTTGCCCGCCAGCTTGACAGCAGCCACATCGGTAGCATCGTAGCCAGCTATAAAGGTCAACGCCTGTTTGTTCTTAATGAACGCGTTCGTCATCTGGCCATACATCTTGGAGTCAATCTCAAATATGCTATCATAGTTATTGGTCGTATATATGGGATCGTAGGGACCGATGCGTATGGACACCGACACCTGATAGGGCACATTCGAGGTGCCCACGGCATTGCCCAACGCAAACAAGCAGAGCGGTCCCCAAATACAGATGACAATCAATAAAACAACAGTGCCGCCCATTATTAGCTTGGAGAGGGAGGGCTTTTTCTGTGCGCGAATCGCAGGGAAATCCGTTTCCGATTGCCGGGTGCAGCGTATCAGATATATATTCGAGAAGATGTCTTCCATTTTAAGCCAATCAAAGATGGTCATGGTGCTATCAATGCACACCCAGTCGAGTATGGTGCGCAACTCGTACAGGAAGGGTATCTGCATGTATACCTTGAACGCAATCATATTGACCATCGAGAAGCCCTTGGTAAAGAAGTTACCCAGAATGCGTTTCGGATAGCCCGACTTGATCTGATAGGAGCTCAGCAGCATATAGAAGCACTTGATCACATAGAATATAATCGGCGGTGCGAGCGAATTGAATGTTCGCTCCGTCACAGCAGGTACCACAAAGAACATCCAGATGTGTATGCCAATTACCGAGAAGAAATGGAATATGATCTTGTTGACCAAAGCCTTGCGCAGATAAAGTGCTCGATCGATGACAATCAACAGGAACTGCACCAGCAACATGATCAGAAACGGCACCGGCACCTTATTCTCTGCCAAATAGGTTTGGACGCCGCCATCGCTCTCCGTTTGTTGAGTCTGTATGGGGATTAGTGAGGTTTTAGAGTCGTTTACGTTCAAAAATACTTATGCAACTCACGCCAAATGCGGTAAAGCCGAAGAGCAGCACAAAGAAGTTCACAAAATCGCAGAGGAACATCAGCGCATAGACATCAGTGGCCAGGCGGGATTTGTGCACCAAACTAAAGAAGAACTTGTGCAACGAGGACGTATACTTAGTGCGTCTAGAAGACAGACAATGATGGGGATTAATAAGTATTAATATAAGACAATAGGGGAGAAATTTATGAGAATTTAAATAGATAAACAAAAAATTGATCATACGATCTTTTACCACCCATTTTCCACATATGCGAGTGGAATCTCAGAAATATGTCTACACTACGAAATTTTAAAATTCGCCCATAATATGCTTGATCCTTGACGATTAGGTTTAACCCGAAACCTCGACCACCTAACATAGATAAAAGGCCAGATCTTCCACTTACTCCAATTGATTGATCGCCGATTTGCTGTACTCGGGCGAGCCAGGCAGCGAGACCTGGCTAACCTGCAGGCTGAGCTTCTGTGTGGCATCCTCATTTAGCTGGCGAGAGTCCGGCTGTGACATATTATCGCTATCCTCGCGATCATCGCTGGAATTGATGGCAACTGGATAAGTAAAGAGCAAAGTGGGTTTTTATTGACACACTCACATGCTGGCCGTGGGCTTGGTAAACTGCTGATCTACATCCTTGTAGCCGGACTTCCACAGGCCCTGTGATTTGAGCAGATAGCGATGCAGGAACAGCACCAGTAGCAATATCAAATCATAGACCGCATAGTGGGTTTTCATCTCGACGCCAAAGATTTTGGCCGGCGCGAGCGGCTGATTGGGCAAATTGTGATAGTTTGCCCAAATCAATTTGAACTGAAAGATGCACTTGATCAGCACAATGGCCTGCGTGTAGGCAATCAATGTGACCCAAAATGTTTTCGTGGGACGCGGCAGCGATAGTGTGCCCCAAAGGAACACCATAATGGGCAGCGGCAAAGAGATGAGGCTGGCATTGACCACCTACAAGGAGCAAAGTAAATCTTAAGGATTGTGCTGAACGATATTAATGGACGGAGGCTCACCTGATTGATGAACACGACAATATAACAAATGAGATCCGTATTGGCCAGTAGCGCATACCAGGAGGAAATTAGCACCTCGACAATGATGTGATGATCCCGCTGCGCAAAGTTCTCCTCCTCCAGATTGAATTCACCAGCGCTGCAAGTGGCCAACAAGGATTAGACAAGGCAAAAATGAAAAAATCGGGAAAAAGTTACAAATCTTTACAGGACTAGCTCTATAGACATGCCTCTGGTGCTGGTTTTTTTTTTTTTTTTTGTTTTGACAAAACCTGTGCGCTGCATGCGACGCACTCTAGTTGCGTGGGGGGGTGTGCGGGGTAACTTAAGAGTACAACTGATAAGTTGGGGTGGGATTAGGAAAGCCGCAAACAACAACAATACATACATACATACTAGCATAGAACGCACAGAGAGTGGCATGGACTTAAATTAAAGCAGATGCAGTAAATTAGTTAAAGACAGCCACAGATATATATGTAGAGCATAAGTAAGGATTAGTTAAGAGTTATATGAAGGTCGCCTTCGGCAGAGAATTCCGAATGTTGTAAATATGATCTATAATTGAAGATAACTGAAGAAATCGGTTCTTTTTTTTCATATATTGAAATTATAATCCTCTATATATATCAAGTAACATTGTTTCGGAATTCTCCTCCAAATGCGCTTATAGAGTATAGAGTTATAGAGTTATAGAGAGAGAGAGAGCTAAGAATTATAGATAGGTAAATAGATGAAGAGAGTTACGGTGAGAATGTTGCCCGTGTGAAGAGTATTCGATAAGGCTGAGAACAACGTTTATAATTAGCACAGTAACAACAGCAACAACATCAACAGCAACAGCTCTACGAGTACTTGCAACTGGTTCTTTGGTCGGGTGTGTGTCTGTGTGTGTTTGTGAATGTGTGTGTGTAGATGGGCGTGGTCAATACCTGTCCACGTGCTCGTAGGACCAGTGCTTGCTGAGCGAACCCGAACCGATGCTCGCCTGCTGCTGATGATGCGCTTGATGATGATGATGGGGCGTGTGAGACGGCTGCGGAGGCGGCTGCGGTAACTGCTGCTGCTGCTGCCCGCTGCGCTCAATAGATGGCGCTTTAATGCGTATCTCGGGCAGGCCGCAGTCCGATTTGCGGCTATATAGAACACCAAATGCAGGCATTTATGGATTGCATGTGTGTTACATATGTGTGAGTGTGTGTTGATGTGTGTGTGTTTGTATCAAAATGCACAGTCATAATAGAGATGAGATTCATATAGAGTAGCACGAGTAAGTAGAAACAAAATCTTTGCTCAAGTATAGATATAGAGTATTAGAGGTGTTATAAGTAGAGCCTTAAGAGATATATATGTATTTCTTTCAGACACAGAAGAATGCTGTGTATATTTGTGTAGGTGTGTGTGTGTGTGTGTCTGTGTGTTATTCTTGTAGACAGTTATGTTTTAGTATCGTTATCCTTAATATCAGATGTAATATATGTTTTGGAATTTACTTACCCTTTCGTTGGCGGCGATGAACTGATTGATTGTTTTCTATAAACACAAAATTTCAGATGAGCAAAATGCGCGCAGAACAAATGTAAAATGTAAGAAAAAAGAAAAAAAATTAGTAAAGATTTTGGTTTTGTTTCGTTTTGTTGTTTTCTCGAATTACAATTGGTTAGTTTTCAAATTTGTAATAATTTTTTTTTTAATATTTGCAGTTATAAATTAAATCGAAAAGTAAATAAATTTATTGATCAAATTAAAGCGATTTATGTGGGCTAAAATACTTATGTTATTTTTGTGGGATGAATATTGGGGCAATTGATTTAGTTACGGAATTGATCTGATTAAGCATAATATATACTAAGAACAGATTACAGAGAGACATATAATACCATACGATAGAGGAAAAGCACAACTAGTTAATAACCTATAACCAGCTTAAACGAATCCATGACGATATACATTATTTTCAATATTAAAACACTTCTATTCTTAATTCGGATATTTGTACTTGAAGTTTAATCAGGTCTCAGATTGGTTTCTAGACGATTTTATTGACTGCAAAGATCCATTTTCTAAAAGTTTTAGTTTGAAGCAACTCCATGTACAATATATTATGATAATTTGACAATTTAATTTATCATGTGGAAGCAAAATATTAAATAAAACAATCTAAAATACAAAGCTAAACAAATTAATAGGTTTCCTGACAATGACTTTTGCAAAATAACCCAGGCTAAGCACTTTTTACTGACAGCTGCTTAACATAATACTGTAATGTTCATAACATTGTCAGTGATTATGTTTAAAGTTGCTTTTACTAACAGTTGTTTAACATACCAGCCACATGTTAAGACGTATGTAGCTGAGCGCTGTTTAATTACAGCTGCTTGACATAAGACAAGCAGCTGTTGATTATTCGGTTAAATTGTGAGTTCCCGAGATTCAAGGCATTATATAAGCCCACTTTTATAACTATCTATTATATTTTTGGTTGGTTGAAAGTTGTAGGGTATTTAGCTAACTGTTCTTAATATGCATTTTGTGATCTTGGGGTGGGATGGTGATGGTTGTTAGGCATTTGAGCTGTTGATAGTTGGTATTTTACCTAGAGCTTGCTGCATCAACGGTATCTACAGGCATTTCGATGATATCGTCGACTGGATGTGATTGCTGTGGCGTACTGGTTGCTGGTGGTTTATCGTGTGGATGTGGTGGTTGCTGTTGTTCTTGTTCTGGCGGTGTGAGCGGTGTGGTTGTTGTATTTGTGTTAAGTGGTGTGCTGAAGTGTTCATTGTCTGATATTGTTGTTGCTGTGGGCGGTGTTGTTGTTGTGGCCAGCTGTGAGCGACGCGGTGTAGATGATGAAACTGGCTGACCACCGTTTTCATCACTAATCAAGATAATGCACAGACGCAACGTGATGTAGGTGAGGTGAGTTTTGGTATTTGATTGATTTGGTTTTGTTTTTTTTTTTTGATATTGTGGAAGCAGGTACACAGTTTCAAACACACGTAACACAAAAGGTAACATATGCAAATAAACAAAAATAAAAAAAGGAATAGAAAATCATAAAACGAAATCAATTTTGTTGCTTTCAATAAAATTCATATCACAAACTCGAACATAACGCAAAATAATATATATATGTTTTTCGAACCATTTCAACAAAATTCGAAATACGAGAGAAAACGTGCGCTACGCTAAAAACGCACTTTTCGATCATAAAGAAAATCAAATGAAAATTTAATAAAAACAAATAATATTTATAAATAGTTGGGATAGTTAAATGCAAGCGGCGCACACTCCCAGGATAGCTAACGCCCACTAAATACCTCTCGAGATTCGATTTCAGAAAATGGAACATGGCCGCGGCGCTGGAGAGGCCCAAACGATTCAGCGAGCTGGATTCCTGTCAGCAAAAAGATATACATTAGTTGAATAAAGTGCAATTAACACAGACCAAGCGATGACCTACTTTGAGAGTTTTCTTCTCGCCCGCCAAAATGCGATTGACAAAGCGATAATTGCGCGAGAAGCGATTCAGGCGGATGGTCAAGGTAACCAGAAAGCCCTCCAGCAGGCGTATAATGGGATTCGTATCGAAATCATCATCCGAATCCTTGGCCGTCACATCGCCGCTATCCGGTTCCATTTTCGATTTACTGTCCGAGGTCTCCTTGGAGGTGGCCTCACGTGGCGCTGCCGTCGCCAATGCTGCAGTTGTTGGCAAATCGGCCACATCCTTGGCAGCTGGCTTGGGGCTGCTCGTGGTGGCCGCCGCATCGCGTTCCTTGGAGATGCCCTTGCTTGTCGAGGGAAAGAAATCGGTGGGCGCATCCTTTGATTTCTGTGAAGCGGGGGAAGAAGCATATAAGAATATAAACAGAATCAATTATTGTAAGAATTAAGTAATATTTACGCATAATAAACAACATTGAGACGCAAGAAAACGAAATAAAGCTAATATATAAAAGATATTTATACACATAAAAGTTGTAAATGTTAATGTATTTGTACAGCTATATATGGACTATATAGTGTGTGCGCCAACTTGCAGCTGTTGTTGTTGTTTGCAGCGCTTTAAAACTCGTGATCAAATATAGTTATAGCAAATGTTGCACGATAAAACACTTGTTGAACGGGTGCGCCAATTAAAGAATTTCTGTTTAATTTTTAACAACTTAATTTTTTTGTTTTTTGTTTTTTTTTTGCTTGCTGCACACTCACAACTGCCTGAACTGGAGGCGGCGTTTGGGTATCGAGCAGCGTCTGACTGCGTCGACCAAAGTCAACCGGCTCGGAGAGCGTCGAGGTGCGCACGCCCACGTCACACTCAATGGTATCATCGTCATCATCAGCATCAACACGATTGTTGTCGGCCACGTCATCAGCCACGTGATCCACACCAGCCACCAGCTCATCCCGCTCATCCAGACTATAGGCGGCCATATCCTTGAGCGCGATGCGAGAGCCCGGCTCGGAGGCATAGGAACGCTCGCGCATATACAAATGACGACGATATTCCGCATCGTTTAGATCCTTCCAAACCTTTTTTGTTTTGTTCATTTGTGTGTCGACAATGTCAGTGTTGGAGGTTGGCGTAATTTATAAGGGAATTTTACAACAGATTATGGGTATATGTATATCAAGGCTGCAAACTAGCTGCAAGCCCCATCGGTCCGATATTCAAAAATATTTCTATTAACTAAACCTTCGCCAAATTCTATCAGAAATGTGTTCTTGCTTAACTTTGGTGCATATGGACCGATCTTAATGAATTTTTCAGGGCATAAATATGGCATACGAAAGTTTGTGTTTACCAAAGTTCTAGCTTCCAATAGTTGGCAAGAATATTTATCCAAGTGTCTTTATAGCATATTAGATAAGACTACATATTATGATTATATTTTTATTACTTATTAAATTGAAATTTGTAGGAATTCTCGATCAAAAATAATAAGCTTCTTCTTCATCTCAACTCTCTTTTATTATCTAGTCTCCTATAAAGACGCGTTCATACAGTCGGCTATTGCTAGATCGACCTGATCCAGGCTATATATACTTTATGAGAAAGATGCTTTCTTTTGCCTAATACATTTACATTATCCCATTTTCAATGGGTTCAGGTTAAACAATTTATACTATACAGGGGGAAACCCACTTCAAACAAGCAATATATATATATTGAGTGACCGTGAACTTTTATGAGAACTTTAAGTTATTTACACTTTCATATGAAAAACCAGATTCATATGCTATATGAAACCTAAGGGCGAGACATTGGTTTGCAGCCATGTTATATAGTATATCACATGCATACAGCATGCCATTCAGTTAAGTATATAGGAATAATACTCGATATTTGAGCTTGGCTGGAATAAAGAACGTGTTTTCAGAGTGGTTCACTTACATCGTATAGCGTCTTGCGTCGCTGCATTTTCATTTCGCTTTCCGTTATGTTTTCCTCCTCGAGAAAATCAATCTCATCGTGTATTAAATCCAGCTCGAACTTGTCATCCATTTCCTCAAACATATAATAGTCGCCGGCGCGCGTAGCTTTTGATATAATAAAATATTATTATAAACATATGCATGTGGGAAATATTAAAGCTAATGACAACATTAAGATATGGCTAAAATATGATAATAAATATGTTATTTTACAGGGTAGCAGGTAGAGCAACATTCATGCAGCTTATATAAATATATATATATGTAGATATATAATTTGATATATATTACGGCTAATAGATAATATACAAGGCAAGACAATATCGGCATGATGTTGCTGGCGATCTATAGCGATCTTTATATATGTTAAATATTTTGATTATGGTCTTTATGATGATTTAAATCAAGCACAACAAACAAAATGAAATAAAAACACAAACTTTACCATGTGGATGCAATTTAATTTCCTTCCTTCTGCGTACTGTTGGTGCAGGAAGTGGATAACCATGGTCTATAATAAAACGCGCACACGTACAGATTTCCAAATGAAAATAAATAATAAAGCAAATAAGTATAAAAAATAAATTATAAATATAATAATTATATATTATTAATCGGCAAGCCGAAAGCTTCTAAGGATTTTAGCTGCATTTTTTTTTGTATTATTTGATATATATTTGTTTATAAATAAATAACTTTCAAAATCTTTGTAACCATTTTTATACTTTCTGAGTCATTGCATGGTTCAAGCAATATAATGAGAATCACGTAGAAGAGCGTAGCTAAATAAAATTTAAAATTTAGTTGGAATATTTTGTAAATCCAAAAGAAACTGTATTTCAAACTTAAAAGTGACTGAATAAAGCTGATCAAATATAGGCTTTTACACATTTTCTCAAAAGCAACCATTTTTTTTTTATGATGCTGTAGCAAAAATATAATTTTAAAAGAAATTTTTAGCAATAAGGAATGACAATCAGAGCGCGTAGTAAACGGTTTCAAGTAGCAGTAAGACACACAGAGAAGAATATGGAATCTTGACCGCATTATAGGATATATAAATAATATATAGATAGTTCTTATATTACACTTGTATAAGCGCGCATAGCCCATAGAACGCTTGAAGCATTGATAAGACGAATCAATGCAGATTTGTATAATAAAAGTAAAACCTCTAAAAAAAAGTGATATTTACATATGTTTTTGGGTAATTGTAGTTGTTTTTTGTTGTTGTTGCTTGAGGCCTGCTACACACGACCTCAATAGGTTTTATTGCACGCACATTGAACAAAATCTTTATACATAGTTTCAGTTTAAAATAAATAAATAAGATAAAAATGTTAAATAAGAAGATTCATCCAATACATGGTCCATGCAGCAGTGCGGGCTCATAGAAGGCGCACATCAGCGACTCCATATAGTAGACCGTACCGACGGGTCCCCAGCTATGCGGCCGTTGCGCAGCCCTTAATGCAGCATCATCCCTGGCGCCGGACAAATTGCTGGTGCGACGCTGACGCGCCTGTGCCTCGTCCATGGAGTAGCTGGCATTGCCCATGCTCAGATGACGGCGATGCAGCGATTTCTGACGCATTGTGACCAGCTCCTCATGCTCCGCAGACTGCGAGATAAGAGCACGGGTAATCGGTGGCACAGTTATTGCTGATGCTGATCTGATCTTTACCAGGTTTTGTTTAATGGGCGAACACTTAATGGACACCGTTTCGTTCCAGGAGACGGCGGCATTTGTGGACGACTGACGGCGATGCTGACGCCGCAGATTGGGCGTCAGATTCACGGAACTGGCCGCACTGGTGGCTAAGGCTGTGGCATATGAGGCCAGTGGCGGCACCAGGGTGTGCATGGTCGATTGTCCACTTTGCTCCGAGGGTGCCAGACCCAATGAAATGCGTTTGGGCTCCAGAAAACCTTCGGTGAGTAACGCGGAGAGCGCATCCGTGCTCGGCGTGGTGGGCTTCGAGGAATTCAATTGGCATATTGAAATTGAAAACGTATTTCCGGTCTGGGCACTTACAGCTGTTGTGGTTACCGTAGCCGGACGTTTGGCAGCCAAAGCAGTTGGAGGCGCGTCGGGCTCGTCGCTGAATGATTGCACATCCGCATAGTTCAAATCCTCGTCATCGCATAGCATTATGTTAATTTCCGGCTCAATGATGACAGCTGCATCGGCGCTGTCGACGCTCTCGGCGCTGCTGCTGCTGCTCGACAGCATGGAGGCGCGCGCAGGCGAGGATGTACCCGAGCTGCTTTTGGAGCTGGGGCCATCGGGCGTTTGGTAGCCCGAGCCTTGGCAGGAGACAAAGCTGCTTTGATGCGCCAGCGGCGCTGCCTCGGCCAGGCTTTGCTCCAAGGGCGTACGTTGCCCTGGATATTTTTTGATGTATATATTTTTTTTAAGCCCCAAATCAAGGATTAGTTGGAAGGCGCACAAACACACACGCGCGCGCGGTAAAACAAAAGCGAGACGACAATTTCCACAATACAAAATACAAAATTGGGAAATTGCAACGCGACGAAAATAAAATCCGCCCATAAAAATATAAATCCAACAAATCCGAGGCCGACTTACCATCAAAGTGGGTCTGTTTGTCCAGTGGACGCAGCATCTTCTGTTGTGTGGCACGTATGCGTTCCATTTTGCGCTTGATCTTGTGCAGCACCTGCTTCTCATGGTCATGACGATGTGCAATTTGCTTCTGCCGCAGGCTCTCAATAATGTCCGCGCCTCTGCAAGACAAAACAAATAAGAAAATTAATTAATCAATAGGCTCAGGCCGAGGGGCATTCGAAACACCTACCTGGAGGCGAGTATATTGTTCGCCTTGGTGTCCGTGATGATGTGACAGAAATAATGCGACTTAAAGATGCGCAACTGAAATATGATAAACGCAAAACAAATCGCATCCCAGAGCAGCACAATTTGATGCGTGATCTTGGGGCAGCCATCGGGTCCAATCAGTAGATCCGTCTCATCGCCGGGCACTAGCTCCGGCTCCTTGAGCACATTGCTGGTGCAGGTAATGCCCAACATATGCACCAGCCAGCAGCAGTTGTTGGTCAGCGGCGTCATAAATAAACAGCCCGCCATTTGGAAGCTCGTCTTAATCAGTATATTGGCCACATTGAAGGCCAGCAGCCATTTCCAGCGACTGATAATCGTTTTGATGGGACGCAAATAAAAATCAGAGCCCTGCCAGAGGAACACAAAAGCGCCAATCAAATAGCCCAGCGCCAGCAGATCCGCTATATTCGTGCCCGCCAGAAAGACCACAGCCAAGGTGAACCAATAGAAGCCACACAAAACGCCGTTCTTCAATATATCCGAATAGTTGCGTATATAGGAGCAGAAATCATGCGTGGGATTGTCAAATGGCACACGTCCCAGCTGGGCAATGTCCGCAATTACACTGCGATTGCTGCCACCGGGATAATCATCATTGGTGGCATACCGCTGCTCAATGCAGAAGATGCTCTTCTGGCGATTCAGTATGATGAGCACAATGAAATCGAAGATCAGCTTGGGCACATGATTGAAGTTCAAGGCGCCCGGCAGCATGGTCCAGCGTTGAATGCTCTCGCCAAAGGATCCCTCATCCCACGGATACACTGTAAGCATATGAACCTTTAGCAAGGATATACTGATAAGAAAGATAGCAAAACCTACCCATACACCAGCCAGGCGGCAGACCCACCAGCACAATATACTGCAGCAGTATGGAGATGGCGAAGAAGGTCTGGAATATGCCCCACATTTTGGCACACTGCGAACGCTTCAGCAGCAGGATGACGACCAGCCACAGGGCATAGGCTACCGCAACAATATCCTGACGGTACGTAATGGTCGAGACAAGGGCTATCAGCGATATCTCGATGCCGAACTTATAAAAGCCAAAGTTCAACAAATACTTGGCCAGGCCAACTAAATCCTTCTCAGCATCGGCACGCGTGATATTCTGGAAGAGCAGCTTTGGCTGATTGGCGCTATTTTCGCCAATCTTGACGCGCATCTGGAGCTGGCGCAGCGATATGACTGCGTGCATGGTGACAATCACCATGTAAATGATGTAGGTGCGCAACAGACCCATTAGACCGCCCTCCAGTTTATCGGCCTTGTTGAGACCCACCCATTCGGCATTGTTGGCGGTGCGATTGTCCGACTGTGCAGGAAAGCATACGAAAATGGCATATTATTTGAAGTTCAACAGGGGTTAGGTACGTGCAGGGCACTCACGCAGGTGACGCTATATTGCGAATGATCCAAGTACTCGATTTGATATATCATCTTGGACAGCACAATGATGGTAACTATAAAGCTAATCAGGCGACTGATAACCACCTGCACAGCCTTGCGAGATGTGGCGCCCAGCACACAGAAGCCCACAAAGACAATGTGGAGGACGCATACTTCGCTGACGCTGCACACGAAGGCCGCTATATAAACGGCCTTCATGATGTGCAGCTCCAGGAAGCGCCAGAAGACGGTCTTGAAACGCTTGAATATGTACTCCGATTTGTTTTTGATCTTGCGGAACGAGATGCGCACCAAATCCCGTACCGATGTCTCAAAATCGGTGGTGGTAGCAACGCCCGTTACGCCCTCAGCTGTGGGGCCAACGGAACGGCGCAAGGAACTGGCGCTGCCGCGACGCTTCAGTGGCGGTGCTTCCAAGGCACCAGTCTCTGTGCGCTTCTGCTGTGCGGCGGCGGCGGCGTTGCCTTGTGCCCCGCCAGACGCGGGCTGCTGCTGCAGGGATGCAATGAAGCGCTTGTGGAAATAGTGCACCTGTATGACAGTCAATATGACAATAATCGTGGGCGATACCAGGTGCAGGAACAGATCCTTAGTCTTGTATAGCTTTAGGCCAATATCAGCTTGTCTGCAAAAAGATGAAGACTTATTTAACAAAAAATTCAGCATTGGCTTTAGTTGAGTTCACATACAGCGTTTGGGACACATTGAGATAGTCCTTCCAGTAGGTGTCAAACTTATCAAATTGATATGTATAGATCAATATCAATATGGACATGGCGTAAAAGATTAGGAACAGCCAAAAGCCGTACATGATCTTAACCCAGGCCTTGGACGATGATTGAAACACCAGCAAGAAGAATAGGAACAATGCCATATAGCAGATGCGAAAACCGGTCATATCCTCGCCCGTAATGGCGCACAAAAAGATGACCAACACCAGCAGCCAGATCCAGAGGCGCACCAGTAAATTCTTAATCACATCGCCAGCTTTCTTTAGGAACTTTGAGGTCTTCTTGCCATCGTTGATGAGGTAGGTGGAGCCCGCCGAGCCCACGGTTATCTGCAGCGGCGCTATAATGTCCGCCAAGGTGCTATCACGGCGTCTGTCCCGCTTCTCCTTGAAGAACTGGCGCGAAGTCACCCAGAACATTAGCACAAACGCGGTCTTCACTATCAGCGGCACGCACGGACGCATTTGATTCTCAATGGGTCGCTCGAAGCCAATCTGTTGCAAATTAATGCCCGCCGTCTGGAAATATATATGGTTGAAGAAAAACAAAATATTCAATATTTATGCGCCATAATCGTTTGGTAGGGGAGGGAACTTACTGAGACCTTGGTCGGCAGCTCGTCGTTGTTCAGATCCATGCCATAGATATATTGGGCCACCAGCAGCAGCTCCGCATACAGCACAATAAATGGACTGGAACGCATCATGGCCTTGCGCTGATTGGGTATCATCCACAGCACATTCGCCCACAGCAGCAGCACAAAGGTCAGCCAGCTGTGGTAGACTATGGACCAGGCCTACAAAAGGGTACAATATAAAACATATAAATTAAATCTATCCTTTGTTTCTTATTTAATATATTACAATATATATAACAATATGAATAATAATCTATTGACTCGATAATATGTGGCGAAATTATATTTAATAAAATATGCCAAGATATCTTTTCAAAAAAATAGATTAAAAACATTTTTAATTGGAAAATGTCTACGAAAAATTTGTTTATCTTTATTCAACAGTCTACTTTAAAGATTTAACAAGTTTAATTAATAAATTGTCTTTTATATTTTTTTAAATTCTTTACCATAGTTTTCGTTAGGAATTCGATTTAAGCACAACATACTTTTAATTTCTTTTTATGCTTAAACAAAAGCAATATTTAAAAAAACATTGCAGTTTAGTAATTTTTTATAATTAGTTAATATTTATTTCTTTAATATACTTGTTAGTAAATTGTTCGTAAACTTCGTATATTTGATCAGTTGTATCTTTTTTTTAATTACTTTTGCCCTAGCTATATTCTAGCCTTTATTTGTAGGAAACAGTTTTTAATGAAATAAAATGTAACCTTACTCTTCACTGACATATATAAATAACTAAACATATATATGACAAGGTAGTGACATATTTTTATATGGAAAATCTACAAAACTTACCATCATCAGAATATTGGTGAATATATAGCTATTCTGATAGATGAAGCCGCCGACGCTGACAAAACCGTACGAGATTTGATCGAGTATGGAGGTGGTATTATTCTCATGCTCGGAACGTCTCTCCAGCGAGTCCAGCTGTATATCATTGCCACGTGAGCCACTGGACGCCGTCGGAACCGCACCGCCAGACTCCAGTGCCTGGGGCGAGCGCGCCTTGCGTGTGCTCTGCCGCACCAGCTGAGAGAAATACCAGAGATTAAAGAGATGTTTAGCTAACAAGACAATGCCAGAGATATATAGATAACATATAGACAGAGAGAAGGAAGAGTCAGCTACATAGTTTATGGCAGGCTGCAAGTGTTAATGTACTTACTAAAACTAGGTGAGTATATTAATTAGTTTAGCTATATACAGACGACCCGAAGCACACACGCACACACACACACGCTCACGTCTGATATGTAGGAGTTAAATGTTGTTAGCGTTACGCAACTATGAGTTAAGGTTATGATAAATACAACTGAAGTATTTGACAATTAGTATCAATGTTAGACAAATACAATTAACAATTACAATTGAACAATTATGGTATTAGGCTAGTTAGATACATTTAGCTAGTTGAGATAGATAGCAGCTAGGTATTTATGTAGACAGAGTTGGTTTCTTTTAAGAGTTTACTAGGCTAGGGTTAGTTATATTTTTGGGAGTTGGGAGGTTTCTTAGTGGCGAATAGTGGAGTTAGTTTACGTACAGGCGTCGTCTCAGTCGGTTCATTTAACGTTGCACGCTGTTCACGGCGCAAAGAAACCTAAAGCAGAAGAGGTAATAAAAGTGAGAGCGTAAACAAAAATCAACGAAAAGAAAACAAACAACGTAAAAGAAATGACAAAAGAAAAAAGAAAGTAAAAAAAAGAAAGGACCACAAAGCACATCGAAAATAGAAATAAGAAAACTTATCAAACAACTGCTTCAAGATTAGCCAAAGGATACTCAAGAAAATTGGGCGAAAATCGCTTAGCCCAATTTGGAAATATTAATTGTTAATATTTTGCACAGGACATGCTTTATAAATGCCTTCGATATTTAAAGTTAAGTATTTAATACACATTTTTTAAATTAGTCTAAGGTTAATAAGGTGCGCCGGATTCCGAAAACTCTTTCATTTCTTGGGTTTCTTTTTCTCAAAATGAATGGAGTTTTTTTTTCTTTATTATGCCAAACAATTGTATTCTTTAAGTTTATTATTGTAAATTATTTTTTCAATAATTTAGCAATCATATAAATTAAACAAATAATTCATTTTTATCAATAATAAATCTTATTCTTAATAGGCGCATTTGGAGCCGAGTTCAAAATAATGATTCCGAATATTCCCTATTATATTTTCCAAGCTCACATTTTGTGGAAAGTTGTCGTAAGGACAAATTTATTCCGAAAATTGTGACCCATAGAAATGATAAAAAGCATTCGAATTTTTAATGCATTGGTAAAATCTTAAACTGATTTACATATGTTCATGAACTTAAAACGAATGCATTAAAACATCGAATGCTTATTTCTATTCAATTTATATTTTCCATTTAGAAATACCGATAAATTTAAGAACTTATAAAAAAATAAGATTGGTAATTTATAAATTTTAAATATTAATAATTTTATTTAAAAATTTAAACCCAATTTGTAAAGTTTTGGTACTTTATTTGAAACTCTCTACTCAATGCGCCCTTTGAAAAGATTTGAAAAAAAAAAAGAAAATTCGGAATTAAAACAACTAAAATCTTTAATTTTATTTAAGCCTATAAACTCATTTTCAAGCATTTACTTTTTAAGTAAGTTACGAAAAGCTGAAAGCAAACATTGCTTATTTATTGTTCGGAATCCTGGACAGGTACTAAGTTAGTTAGATTTCCCAAAGTTTCTAATTAGTTTCCGAAGTTGCAATATATATGGGTTAAGTTACAACCGCACACACACACACGCACACGCTGCATCTGAACTGAATTGATTTGGTTCCATTTAGAGCTTATCGATATATATATATATATATATATGTGGATAGATATATATATATATATATTTAAAGAGCAGTGCCCGTCAGCTGTGACTGCTGCATCCGCATCCGCACACGCACCACCAATTCCTATCAACTCTTTTGCCTCACATACACACAGACAGACAGGCAGGCACACCCACACCCACACCCACACGCTTACACTCAAACGCTGTGGGCGACTTGTTGTGGCGCCTCCGCTGCCGGCACTGGAGCTATCCTTGCGACTGCTGCCGGAGACGCCGCCGCGTGTTGCCTGCGACGTGAGCAACGAAAGCTGACGGTTGATTTTGTTGCTGGTGTTGTTGCTGCCGCTGCTGTTACACTCGAGCTGCTGCCCAAAGGCGGTGGCAGGCTTCGGCTCCAGCTGATTGTAAGTTATTGTTGTTGTTGTTATTGTTGTCAGGTGCAAGGTGGCAGTTGCAAGTTGGCAGGTAAAATGGCAGGTAAACGTGGAAAGCGGCAGCACGGCGCAATGTATTTTATTGGGTTAGTGACGAGTCATTATTGTTGTTGTTGTTGTCGTTGTTGTTGTTTTTGTGGCATGTTGTTGTGTTGTTGTCGTGCATGCGTGTGCGTAAAAGTTTAAAGTTTGAACATTGTGTTAGGTTATTAAGTTGAGAAAAGCACCAAAAATTTTCCAATGCATTCAGAGCAGCAGTAGAAGAGCAGCAGGAAAATCAGATAGAGAGTTGTTCAATAACCAATGTTAGTTCGAAAAATATTTGTTTAATAATAATAATAAGAAAGAAAGTAATCTTCGAGGTGCCATTGAAAATATACCCATGCAGATTATTGGAAAATGTTATCGTCTAAAGCTTTGCCCATTTGTTCTATCTGTTTGTCTTGACTGACTGATTCATCATCAACGCAAATTCCACTCGTAAGCGTGAAAAATTGGCGGAATACGGTTGATGATATATTTCGCTTATCATCCGATCGACTTTAAACTCATTTTCAAAGATCTCTGTGAAAATTCATTTGAGAAGCTACTTCTTAGATGAAAAATGTGCCTCAAAAGTGGTTTGAGTGAAAAATGAATTTTAGGCTTTTCGATGTAGATTGTTCAAGAATAAATGTATTTTTCATTGATGTCCATATTGGTAAGATAGACTGAAAAATAAAAGTGGAAACCCTCTTGTAACGAAGACATACAGACGGACTTGGCTCTAACTATTTTCCTTTGCGAACGGGATAAGGAATTGATATACCATACAGAATTGAACATGAAACCAGGGTACCCTCTGCAAGGGTATTAGAAAACATGCATCTTCCCAGAAAAACTAAGCCCACAGACACTTACCCGCGGCTTGATGAGATGCTTTGTGGTCAGCGCCAGCGCAAAGTAGGCAAAGAACAAGGCGAACGGATTCAGATACGAGTCCAGGGTGAGTTTATTATTGTACAGCAGGATGCGTATATCCGGCACGCATTCGGACTCAATCAGCGGCTCCAGGCCAATCAAACTGTCGTGCGAAAGAAAGGTGGTTTAAGTGGAACATCTCAAATGGTTTTTGTCGGGGCTGTGCTCTTACCGCGCCGTCAGGCTGGTGTTATTGAGATGGCTCTGCATCCAGGGCGTCTGATAGGAAACAATGCACAGCGAATGCAGCACAAGGACGATCATCACGCAGCGCAGCAGCAAAGCAAAGCCACTAAAAAGAAAACAATAAGAAGAGCAAAACAATAGAGGATAGAGTATTAGAGTGAGGTGTGAAGAGGATGCAATTGATTTGATTGAATCTGGGTAGAGGGACACGCACCGTTGCAGCGTCTGGCAGGTTGCCCAGTAGGTGCCCGCCAGCAGGAAAATGAGAAAATAAAAGCCACCCGGCACAGATGGACGCAGTACGGCCGCAAAAAACAATGTGGCCAGGCAGAAAAGAGGTGCTGTAAAAATGAAAAAAAGAGTATATGAGTATACATTAGTAACCATGTGAGAAGCAGTCAAGGATTAGGTCCACTGCAGCACGTTTGTGGCATTAGCTAGTTTCAGTTAGTTTTGCACAGCTTACACTAATCTATTGCATTAGGACTGCTGCGACAGAGCTTTTCAAATAAATAACATTTGTTAATTAATAGCGTCACAATAACAGCATCCAGTCGCCTCTAAGCCATTAAATGCTGCCGCTTTCAATCGTATTGCAACAAAATTAACATATGTTGCATTTGCTGAGCAGCATTCAAACTCAAACTTAATTAATATTAGTAATTCTTCTTACAAAATAAACTATGTCTATCGTTGCCTTAACAGACTGGGCTTAACATCGCACTAACATTAACAGCACTTACATATCTTGATCAATCCCTCAAAGTGTATGTGCTGGCTGATCATGGAGACGCGTTTGCGCAGCTGCTGCTGCTGTTGTTGCAGCGGCGTGGTGGCAGTTGCCTGTTGCACATCGGCACCATTGGCATCGTTGGCAACGTTGCCCGCCTGCTGGTTAACAGCATGCTCCAACTGCGATTCTGGCAGTTCGCCATTCTCCAGCTGCTCGGCGCTCAGTGTTTGTGCGGCCAAGCGCTTCACGCTGAGATACGAGGCTAGCGCCGTGGTAAAGACCAAAACCTCCGGTGCCAGCCACTCAACAATGGCCGTGGGCCTGCGGAAAAAAAGACAGGTTAGCATGGCTGTATATCAGGGCATATCCATATGGTTAGGTTAACTCACTGCAAGTTTACGAAACTCATGAAGCCAATGTGCCGCAGCAGTCGTTCGCTGAAGGAGCAATCGTAGATAGGCAACGAGACGCTCACAGCTGCCACCTGAAGCGCAATGTGGCCCAGCAGCACAAAGGCGCTCAATGCTACCAGGATAATGAAGAAGGCGGTGACGGAACCCTTGAAGTTGCGGCGCGTTGCGAGTGGTATGAACGGCGACATGAAGAACATTAACATGTACACAAACGATATGCCCACCGGCCGCATCAGCGAAGCTGTAAAGAGGAATTGAGAAAATAGTTATAATCGGTTTGCCGAAGAATATAGAAAAGTTAACTAACTATGGGAAAGTAAGATTGATATATCTTGGACAAGTTAAGTTAAATAAGAGCTACAACCAATGATCTATGAGAGCTATATGTTATCTTCCTACGATTTTGAAAAGATTTTCGTCAGACCTATGCACAGTTGTATTTACAACAAGTAAGAGGTTCTAGTCGGGAGCTCCCGACTAGGGAATACCCTGAACCCTCTTCTTCCAACATCAAATGCATATATATATTCTATTTTAGAAGCTATATGTCAAGTTTGGTGACTCTAGTTCTCATTGTTTACTATAATTGCCCAAAAATCGACTGCTTGGAAACGGAGTAAGTTATCGATTATCGGAAACTCTATCTGCGCAGGAACAAGGAGCACCTACATCTAAAATTTCAAGTCTCTAGCTCTTATAGGTTCTGAGATCCTTGCGTTCATACACACGGACAGACGGACGGACGGACGGACGGACATGGCTAGATAGACTCAGCTATTTATGCTTATCAAGAATATATATACTTTATGGGGTCGGAGTTCCTTCCTTGTGCCTGTTACATACATTTGGCTTTCGCACAAATACAATATACCCTTATACCCATTTTTAATGGGTTCAGGGTATAAAAAGCCAAACTTCGTGAAAATCGGATAAGATTTGGCCGAGATATGGGGGTGGTAAGTTTTGACCCATGTCGGTGTCGAAATTTGAATGCCAGATTAATTTAGAGGGAAAACCATAAAGAAAAATCCAAACTTCGTGAAAATCGGATGAGATTTGGCCGAGATATGGGGGTGCTAAATTTTGACCCATGTCTATATACGAATCTTGGGGTTAGATTTGGACATGAATTTCGACCAAAAAATCGGTGTCGAGATTTGAATGCCAGATTAATCTAGAGGGAAAACCATAAAGAAAAATTCAAACTTCGTGAAAATCTGATGACATTTGGCCGAGATATGGGGTGGTAAACTTTGACCCATGTCTATATACGAATCTTGGGGTAAAATTTGGACATGAATTTCGACCAAAAAATCGGTGTCGAGATTTGAATGCCAGATTAATCTAGAGGGAAAACCATAAAGAAACACCCTACTTCGTGAAAATCTGATGAGATTTGGCCGAGATATGGGGGTGGTAAATTTGGACCCATGTCTATATACGAATCTTGGGGTAAGATTTGGACATGAATTTCGACAAAAAAATCGGTGTCGGGATTTGAATGCCACATTAATCTAGAGGGCAAACCATGAAGAAAAAGCCAAACTTCGTGAAAATCGGATGAGATTCGACCGAGTTATGGGGGTGGTAAATTTTGACCCATGTCTATATATGAATTTTGGGAAAAGATTTGGACATGAATTTCGACCAAAAAATCGGTGTCGAGATTTGAATGCCACATTAATCTAGAGGGAAAACCATGAAGAAAAAGCCAAACTTCGTGAAAATCGGATGAGATTCGACCGAGTTATGGGGGTGGTAAATTTTGACCCATGTCTATATACGAATTTTGGGGTAAGATTTGGACATGGATTTCGACTAAAAAATCGGTGTCGGTATTTGAATGCCACATTAATCTAGAGGGAAAACCATAAAGAAAAATCCAAACTTCGTGAAAATCGGATGAGATTTGGCCGAGATATGGGGGTGGTAAATTTTGACCCATGTCTATATACGAATTTTGGGGTAAGATTTGGACATGAATTTCGACCAAAAAATCGGTGTCGAGATTTGAATGCCAGATTCATCTAGAGGGAAAACCATGAAGAAAAATCCAAACTTCGTGAAAATCGGATGAGGTTTGACCGAGTTATGGGGGTGGTAAATTTCGACCCATGTCTATATACGAATCTTGGGGTAAGATTTGGACATGAATTTCGACCAAAAAGTCGATGTCGAGATTTGAATGCCAGATTAATCTAGAGGGAAAACCATAAAGAAAAATCCAAACTTCGTGAAAATCGGATGAGATTTGGCCGAGATATGGGGGTGGTAAATTTTGACCCATGTCTAGATACGAATCTTGAGGTAAGATTTGGACATGAATTTGGACCAAAAAATCGGTGTCGAGATTTGAATGCCAGATTAATCTAGAGGGAAAACTATAAAAAAAAAAACCAAACCAAAAATCGGATGAGATTTGGCCGAGATATGGGGGTGGTAAATTTTGACCCATGTCTAGATACGAATCTTGAGGTAAGATTTGGACATGGATTTCGACTAAAAATCGGTGTTCAGATTTGAATGCCAGATTAATCTAGAGGGAAAACCATGAAGAAAAATCCAAACTTCGTGAAAATCTGATGAGATTTGGCCGAGATATGGGGGTGGTAAATTTTGACCCATGTCTAGATACGAATCTTGAGGTAAGATTTGGACATGAATTTCGACCAAAAAATCGGTGTCGAGATTTGAATGCCAGATTCATCTAGAGGGAAAACCATGAAGAAAAAGTCAAACTTCGTGAAAATCGGATGAGATTTGGCCGAGATATGGGGGTGCTAAATTTTGACCCATGTCTATATACGAATCTTGGGGTTAGATTTGGACATGAATTTCGACCAAAAAATCGGTGTCGAGATTTGAATGCCAGATTAATCTAGAGGGGAAACCATAAAGAAAAATTCAAACTTCGTGAAAATCGGATGAGAGTTGGCCGAGATATGGGGGTGGTAAATTTTGACCCATGTCTAGATACGAATCTTGAGGTAAGATTTGGACATGAATTTCGACCAAAAAATCGGTGTCGAGATTTGAATGCCAGATTAATCTAGAGGGAAAACTATAAAAAAAAAAAACCAAACCAAAAATCGGATGAGATTTGGCCGAGATATGGGGGTGGTAAATTTTGACCCATGTCTAGATACGAATCTTGAGGTAAGATTTGGACATGGATTTCGACTAAAAATCGGTGTTCAGATTTGAATGCCAGATTAATCTAGAGGGAAAACCATGAAGAAAAATCCAAACTTCGTGAAAATCTGATGAGATTTGGCCGAGATATGGGGGTGGTAAATTTTGACCCATGTCTAGATACGAATCTTGAGGTAAGATTTGGACATGAATTTCGACCAAAAAATCGGTGTCGAGATTTGAATGCCAGATTAATCTAGAGGGAAAACCATGAAGAAAAAGTCAAACTTCGTGAAAATCGGATGAGATTTGGCCGAGATATGGGGGTGCTAAATTTTGACCCATGTCTATATACGAATCTTGGGGTTAGATTTGGACATGAATTTCGACCAAAAAATCGGTGTCGAGATTTGAATGCCAGATTAATCTAGAGGGAAAACCATAAAGAAAAATTCAAACTTCGTGAAAATCTGATGACATTTGGCCGAGATATGGGGTGGTAAACTTTGACCCATGTCTATATACGAATCTTGGGGTAAAATTTGGACATGAATTTCGACCAAAAAATCGGTGTCGAGATTTGAATGCCAGATTAATCTAGAGGGAAAACCATAAAGAAAAATCCAAACTTCGTGAAAATCGGATGAGATTTGGCCGAGATATGGGGGTGGTAAATTTTGACCCATGTCTATATACGAATTTTGGGGTAAGATTTGGACATGAATTTCGACCAAAAAATCGGTGTCGAGATTTGAATGCCAGATTCATCTAGAGGGAAAACCATGAAGAAAAATCCAAACTTCGTGAAAATCGGATGAGGTTTGACCGAGTTATGGGGGTGGTAAATTTCGACCCATGTCTAGATACGAATCTTGAGGTAAGATTTGGACATGAATTTCGACCAAAATATCGGTGTCGAGATTTGAATACCAGATTAATCTAGAGGGAAAAACATTAAAAAAAAGTCAAACTTCGTGAAAATCGGATGAGATTTGGCCGAGATATGGGGGTGGTACATTTTGACCCATGTCTATATACGAATCTTGGGGTAAGATTTGGACATGAATTTCGACCAAAAAGTCGATGTCGAGATTTGAATGCCAGAATAATCTAGAGGGAAAACCATAAAGAAAAATCCAAACTTCGTGAAAATCGGATGAGATTTGGCCGAGATATGGGGGTGGTAAATTTTGACCCATGTCTAGATACGAATCTTGAGGTAAGATTTGGACATGAATTTCGACCAAAAAATCGGTGTCGAGATTTGAATGCCAGATTAATCTAGAGGGAAAACTATAAAAAAAAAAACCAAACCAAAAATCGGATGAGATTTGGCCGAGATATGGGGGTGGTAAATTTTGACCCATGTCTAGATACGAATCTTGAGGTAAGATTTGGACATGGATTTCGACTAAAAATCGGTGTTCAGATTTGAATGCCAGATTAATCTAGAGGGAAAACCATGAAGAAAAATCCAAACTTCGTGAAAATCTGATGAGATTTGGCCGAGATATGGGGGTGGTAAATTTTGACCCATGTCTAGATACGAATCTTGAGGTAAGATTTGGACATGAATTTCGACCAAAAAATCGGTGTCGAGATTTGAATGCCAGATTAATCTAGAGGGAAAACCATGAAGAAAAAGTCAAACTTCGTGAAAATCGGATGAGATTTGACCGAGTTATGGGGGTTGTAATTTTTGACCCATGTCTATATACGAATCTTGGGGTAAAATTTGGACATGAATTTCGACCAAAAAATCGGTGTCGAGATTTGAATGCCAGATTAATCTAGAGGGAAAACCATGAAGAAAAAGTCAAACTTCGTGAAAATCGGATGAGATTTGACCGAGTTATGGGGGTTGTAATTTTTGACCCATGTCTAGATACGAATCTTAAGGTAAGATTTGGACATGAATTTCGAACAAAAAATCGGTGTCGAGATTTGAATGCCAGATTAATCTAGAGGGAAAACCATGAAGAAAAAGTCAAACTTCGTGAAAATCGGATGAGAGTCGACCGAGTGGTAAATTTTGACCCATGTCTATATACGAATTTTGGGGTAAGATTTGGACATGAATTTCGACCAAAAAATCGGTGTCGAGATTTG